TCAACATGCCTAAGGATCTGTGATCTCAACATCAATGATATAGGGCTATAAGTCTTAACTGTGAGTTTCCCTAAAGATCTGTGATTTCACTATCAGTGATGTAGGGATTTAAGTCCTGACATTCAGAACGGGTAAGGATCTTCGATTCGACAATCCACAGGTTAGGACTACAATAAGTTTGCCTAGAGATCTGTCATCTGAACACCAAATGATTTTCGACTCTCTGCATTGAGCATTTCTGTTACAAATCCCTTAAGAGGAATCGAAATGTCACCAAGCGTTTAGATAACGGAAGCAAAACTTGCAGGCCTGTAAGGGAGTTTCACTTCAACTTAAAAATTGACGTCTCGACGAAGAGATCAAGAGCCAACTTATTAACATTGTTCAAAAATGGCTAAGCTGAAAAAAGATTGTGTTGGTATAACGTTCAAACATGTTTTTCTAAGTATTTCCGCCAAGTAAAAGAAAACGAATATCCTAAAGGGAAAAAAATGTGCAAATGTTGTCAGGATTTGGTTCTTAGAAATCGACGTACATTTGCTGACTTGAAATTTAATTGAAAAGAGCCGCTTCACGGTCACCTCATAACCGTGTTCTCGTGAATGTGTTTTTTTAACTTTTTTCCTAACATTTTTTCGTCATTTGCCATCATGTGGAATGACGATGCTTTAATTGCGCTTGGTACACAAATGTTTTGAACTCTACATAGAATTCATGCAAACCCAACATTTATTTTTCGCTGGTTTTCACAAATCCTGTGTTGGCGGCGAAAACGGCAGACGGCGAGTCTGGGTAGATGGCGAGGTGGTCAACGATGAGAGCACCCGTGAAGCGAGGTCCGCGCGGCGGATCCAGGCGATGACATACCAGTGCCTAAAAGCAAAGGACGAGATGGCTAGAATGCACTCGTCTGCAGTGTTCACACCCCCTGCGCACATCTTAAATGCGTGTCGGGAGGATTGCGGCCTGTTTATGTTCTAATGTGCGCGGTGGACGGTGGCGAGGAGTGATGGCGCCCCGCCCTTTGGACAACGGCGCTACAAGTTTTTCATCCAAACGACGATGACCTACAAGTCACCGTCGACAGGGATTGGGAAGGCGATGTGACACCCTCCTTCCATGCAGGCTTTGAAAACGGACATCCCCATGAAGGAGGCCTGCCCCCCCCCCTCCCCCCGCCCCACCCCACGACCCCCAACAGAAAAATTTCCCAGAGTTAAATAATCATTCTAGAGTAAAATTACATTCTAAATTTTAAATTTTCGTTCCATCTTAAAAAATGTAATTCCAATTTTAAAATTTTCCGTCTTACTTGAAAACTTTCATTCCAAGAAAGGGGTATCCCTTCTTATTTGAACTGCATGCTAGAGATGGAATGAAAGTTTGGATGAGTTCATGAAATATTTTAATCATAAATAGGTTAATCCAATCTAAATTAGACGATATTTGTTGTTATAGAATAAAAGTCTAATTAAAACATTTCATAAACTCGTCTAGACGTTCATTCCATCTTGAACAAATAGATGTAGTTGGAAGAGAAATCAAATATTTCGACGGGAACTTATCAAATTAAATTGGAAATTTCAAAATTGGACAAACATTGGAATGATAATTTATAAATATGAAGGATTTTTTTTTTATGGAATGTTTTTTCAACTTCAATTTCTCATGGGAATTTTTCTGTTGCCCCTTCCCCCCCCCCCCACCCTCAACATCAAGAATTAGACAAACCCCCTAAACTTAACCCTCGAACCCCCTTCAGATCCACATTGTCGGCGGCATCCCGTGTAACACCCCGTACGACGTACGAAGGGTTTATCGTACGACCGTACGGCCGTATGCACAGCCCCGTACGAAAAAAAAAAAAAAAAAAAACGTTTTTTTTTTTATATCTTAAATTTGATAACGAATTGCAATATGACCCTAAGACAAAAGTGTTTCAGTTTACTTTTTTGCATAACATTTTTTTTTTCAGATTTTTTTGAATTTTTTTTTTTTGCTTTTTTTCTGTACGTACGGCCCGTATGATCACATGAGCCCATACGTACGGTCATACGTACGTACGGACGACCCATATTAGTACGGGGGTCTACACAGGTGGCATCGAATGGCCCACCATCCACTCACCGTCGTGCTTAACCATGGCGCAGCAGGGAAACTGATATCCACCGCAGGGGCTTGTAAAAACAGCCTGGAACACGAAATTCAACATACAGATGGACCGGAAAAAAAAAAAA